ATTTTTACACCCATTGAATTTATCCCATCGAATCTTGAAACTTTTTTCGATAGCTCTCTTTTTTACGAAAATATTTGATCTTTTTAAAAATGGCAATTTTCACTTTTTTCCAATTATCTTTCAAAATATCGCATCGGAATGCCCATCAGCATCAAAAACTAGTAATAATAACAAAAATAGCCATGTTATCCTACTAAATTTCAGACACCTTCACCCTGTATACTACTGCTTTGATATACTTCGCAGATAAAGAGCGTCCTTTCCGAGCGACCCCAAGGCGACTTTGGCATTAGCCATGAATCATAAATTCATAACCATGCAGGGTTTGTAGAAGCCTCAAAAGAACAACCTTTAAGATCGGTACAGGGATTGTTTGTCTCCAAGAGCTCTTATAATGGCTGCCTTTATTCTTAATTGACTCACCTCAACTAATCCGACGATTATTCTTAAAGCGAGTTTTAACCAGAGAATTAGCTTACTTACAGGTTGTTATACTGAGTCGCCACCCGAAATTCCGCAATCCACGCAAGTGCAAAAACGAAAGCAACGCAGCAGACGTCTAGAAAAGCCGTTGTTACTAAAGCCTTCATCGGCCAGCGTCGTAGAGGGATTAGTAGCAATGGCGTCAGAAGAAAGAACTCAAAATCTACAGCCACATACCATGAATGTGGAAGGCACTGAAATGAAGAGTTTAGATGGTGACTTTACCTTTAGATGGCCGATACCATTGGCAGTGTAAAGATTTGAATATACAGCATGTTGTACCACCAACTGTGAACACAAGGTTCGATTATATTTTCATTGAAGTCTGGCCATAGTGGTCCCGAACCTAAATACTTGGTCACTGTCGCTACAAACAAGGCTACAATAGCCATCGAGGGAGTCAACCTTTAACACTCAAATTTAAAACCCCTCTTTCACTCGACTTGCTCACCTCACATATCTGTTAACATAGTGCAACATAATTCGAAATCTTTGCTGTCTCGCCATTTTTTGGCAAAATCCATACGTAATCATCGAACCTGACAAAAAGAAGAAAACGTCCAAGGCAAAGTCCGATTTTACTAATGGCATGTTTTGTGTCTGGTGTACCCACTAAATTATAAGTTTAGTTACTCTGTGCAGGAAAGGAAAAATCTCACGTGATTTATATAGAAGTCATTTCTGTACTTTATGCCAAAGGAATTTAAATAGCGATGGAATGCAATGACTACAATGATTGCTATTGAGCGAAGCCCATGCAGGCAGGTTATTTCCTTGGAGGCGGACTTCGTGTTGAAGATATTCTTGAGGTTTGTGTACACCGAAAATGCCGACAAAAGGGCATTAGGAGTCTCTGTAAGCAGTCTTTACTCAATTGCCGATAGTGTGGGAGGTCTTACTTTTTTCAAGGAACTTTTTACGAAGGTCGTAGATTGTAGAGGCGACCATCAGCAATGCTAAACATACAAAAATGGTCCTAAAAATCTGATGAGTAGGTACCATTGCTCTCTTGAGAGTAGACTTACAATCCAAATATACCACCAACGTCCAACTCCGGCCGTTCCGCCAAAATTTGGCAGTAAGTGTCGTAAGTGGTTAAGTTGATGCCAAAGCCTCTGATGAGATTTTGAACGTCCGTCGCTGAACAAGCGTCAGGAAGGCAAGTCGAAAATACCATTAAGTTCAGACGTTCGGGCAATTTGATTTCAGCGCTGATGTTCTGCAACAGTCCCAGAACTATTAACCCAAAAATTTTGGGTCCCCCCTCCCCCTGCCCCTCCCCGTTTGTCTCATATTAGGCAGTTAAAGAATTAAATTGACACTAGTATATAGGAGACACGCGCACATTGGATATCGAGAAGGGTCACGCGCAAACCCCGAAAATTCTACTCACCTGTGTTGCATTTACGTGAATTGAGCCCATGCAATACTGTCCCGTAAAACTGGAACCTTTGGGTTCCTCGTTTAACTTCGTGACATAGAGGCACTCATCAAATGAACCCAGCTCGGCAAGATTCCCGTCCAATACTCCAGCCGGAAGCTTTCCATTGGAGTCGTACACTAAAAAAGCAGCCGATCTCTTCGGGAGGATATCGAAGGTGACTTACTCTTTAACGCCCACTCCTCTCTCGACCGAAGGCCGACTACGTACTCGCTCAATTGTACCGAACAGTTCCATGAGACCGCCGTTGCATTAAGTAACAGAAAAGATTCGAGGGCATCGGAAAGCATACGTGGCGACGAAAGTGCTTCGAAGTTGTAATCGAAAACGTCTCCTTTCGTCCCCGCAACGAGGAGAATCAGACACAACAGTTTTTGGGGAGCCATCGTGGCATATTGTGGATTCGTTCTGCAGTAGAGACGATTATAACTTGGCCTGATTTAATGGACGGCATACCATAAAAAAATCGTGCCTGGATTACTTAGTAAACGATGGAAGAGCCCACAATAAACTTACGGATTACAGCTTTCAACGTAACGGTACGTTTATCTTATCACTTCAAAACAAACTAATATTCCAGATTTAAGATTCAAGAAAGGATTTAGCCATAACTTTGAAGATTGACTCAAGAGTTGAGATGATTGGTCATGCTTCAAGGTCCATGATATTTCAGGCAATTATGTTATGGCAGATGTTTCACTGATGAAAAGGATTAATGATGATCCCCCAATAAACTTTTGGATTAGAGCGTCGAACGTAAATAGCACTTATCAGATTTAATGTTAAACAAAACTGTAAAATGTTTTTCATTTCGTAAGTGGAAATAAAAAGAAATTGGGTTTACTTCTGATTTCTGAATCAAGAATTCTTCTTCTTCTCTAATCCTTATGCCATTTCAGGCGTTGTGGGTTTCTTGTCCTGTATCCAATTCCTCCATTCCTTCCTGTCTCTTTCTAGAATTTTCATTTTCCCTCTTTCTCGGATTTGGTCCATCGATTTTCTTTATGGTCTTACCCTTAGCTTCTTTCTTGGTTTTTCCATTTCCATTATTCGTCTTGTAAGTCTGTCTGTTCTTTCATTTTTATTTTTTCCGTTATTGGCTTTTGTTTTGCTATTTCTCTGATCGTATCATTTCTTTGTTTTTTTCCATAGCATTTACTTTACTTTCGTCTTTTTTCCTTAGTGTCCACTTTTCACAGGTGTATTTTTGTTTTCACCCCTATGCGAGCCCCTATGTCTATTTTTTTGTTTTGTTTATTACGTAATATATTGTTGATTTATTAGCTCAGTTTGATAACCCCGCTTCTAGTTTCCCCTTCCTTCGTTGTTATACTTCCCATAAATTCGTATGTAATAATTTATTTCTTTGTCGATCTGGACGTCTACGTATAACAGGCAACTCACTTTAGCTGCTTCTGTGCCCAATGACTGTATCCATTTCGTTGTATTTTTCTTTAATTTGTTTAGCAATTTTGGCTTCTCTCTTTCCCTCTCTTATATTTCTTAATATATACGTCTTGTCGTTTGTCTGTCTTTTCGGTCAAATGCTGCCTGTTCCTCTCCCAGTTTCGGTTGCCGATTTTGATTGTGTTGTATTGCTTCTTCGACTTCTTCTCTCTTTATTGTTTATTCATGTTCCACTTGTTCTTCTCTTGATGTTATTTTGTCTTCTGGCACTGTCGTGTTATACTTTATTCTGAAATGTTCTTTCCATGTTTTGAATGTTTCTTTTGTGTCTGTTAGTGTTTGTCCCTGCTTGCTTTTAATTTTTTTTTTTTTTTTTTTTCAGGTGGGGAAATGCATTATGCACACTCCGGATGGAAAAGTCCGGAGTAGTGTGGGACTCTCACCCACTAAAACCCCACCTGAGGCTTCGGCTTCTAGGGCCATTCGCCTTTATACATACTTTTACACAGAAAAAGATGACTATATAAGTACAATGGGACAGAAACGGATCTAGTTACATTTATTAACATACAAAACCAACAATTTAAAAATATCACAGATCATTTGCTATACCAATTCTTTGGGTGAAGGCAAGAGTATTTTTACATTGCTCTTTGTTTTTAAAGTTATTTTCCCATGCAGGGTCGATATTAAAGAGCACACGTACATCTGTGTACTGCGGACAGACAGAAATAATATGATGTGGTGTTAAAATAACACCACATTGTTCGCATAGTGGCCGTTCTTCGCCCTCCAACAAATATCCATGAGTGAGGGCAGTATGCCCCAGCCGGAGTCTGTACAGCCTGATCAAGTTCAAACGCCCAACGTCGATATAAAATAGCGGATCCAGACTCTGTTTGATCTTCTTCAAAGCCGTATCAGTCTCCGACCACTGTTCACTCCACCGCTCATAAATTTTCGTCTTCACAAGTTCACGTCGTGCAATAGATGATATATTCGTAAAGTCAACGTTATCCAGTTGGAGATAGTTTAATACCTCTCTAGCTCTAACACCTAACGATCTACATCTATTTAGTCGAGCAATTGTAGTTGCATCAGTAAGTGATATAAAATTTGGATGTTTATCATCTATCCTTACTTTTATATAATAGTTTGCGACAATCTGTTTCCGGCGTAGAGCTAGAGGGGGAATATTTGCCTCGACGTGGAGCGATGTTACCGGACTTGTTGGATATGCTCCCAAAGAGTAGCGAATAGCCAGGTTCTGAATCTTGTCAAGTTTCTCAAGCAAAGTATTACTGCCACATGTAGAGTACGCTGCACATCCATAATCCATCCTTGACAGGATGAGGGCCTTATAAATATCTAGGAGGGTCTTAGGGTGAGCTCCCCACCTACGATGAGCTAGAACTCTCATAATGTTCAGCGATTTTCTACATGTAGCCGCAACATTCTCCAAATGCTTTGACCATCGTAATTCCCTATCAAAGGTAAGTCCGAGGAACTTGACTTCTTGGACAACACTGATTATACGATTGTTCATAAACAAAACGGGGTCATAGTGGGGCTTACGGAGTCGACAAAAGTGAACAACCTTTGTCTTCTCCTCCGACAGCACGTACCCGACAGCATTGGCGTTATGACAAATGATGTTAATTGCCGTTTGTAGGTTTCGAGTTATTGTGCCAACCGTCTTACCAGAACAACAAACCATTAAATCGTCTACGTATAAGCATTTATCAATTGACTCCTCAACACCTTTGGCTATTTCATTTATGGCGATGCCGAACAGGGAACAACTAAGTGTTGACCCCTGCGGCACACCATTTTCTAAAACATACTCTTTGGAGTTGATATCGCCGATTCTTACACAGAACTTCCTATCCTCTAAAAAGGATTTTATAAATTTAGGTAAATTCCCTCGAAGATTGTATTTATACATATTTTGCATTATTCCATATCTCCAAGTCATGTCATAAGCACCTTTTATATCGAAGAAGACCGCAACCAGATGTTCACCACTGTCAAATGCCCTCAGAATTCTGTCTGTCAGTTTGACCAGATGGTCTACCGTTGACCGTCCTTTCCGAAAACCAGTTTGGTAAGGCACGTATACGTTATTGCTTTCGAGAAATGTTTGTAGCCGCACATTAACCATTTTTTCTAGCAGTTTTCCCAAGCAAGATGTCAAACTAATTGGGCGATAACTTTGTGCCTGCAACGGATCTTTTCCTGGTTTCGGTATAGGAATTACGATGGCTTGCTTCCATTCTGAGGGGTAGGTAGAATCATTCCAGCAGTTGTTGAAGAATCTTAAGATGGTATTTTTCATTTCAGAACTACAGTGGCGAAGCGAAGCATCTGGTTATGGATAGCGTCTTCTCCCGGTGAACATGACTTGGTGTTACGGATTGCTGCCTCCAATTCTTCTACAGTAAAAGGTACGTTGCAGTTCTGTATATCATCTGTGTTAAAGTCAATTAATACTGCTTCTTTTTCAGGTTTGGTATCTAGAAAGGTGTTGGAATAGTTTGACGAGCTACTGACTTTATAGAACTGATCTGCAACTATGTTAGTTATGTCTTGCAGTTTATTGGTAATTATTCCATCGGAATTGCGCAAAAACACCGGATAACTGCAGCTGTTTTTTCCAGATATAGCTCCGACTTTCTTCCAGACATCATTACTGGTAGTCTCTGGTGTCATGGTTGTTACATAATGTTGCCATGAAATTCTTTGGGCTTCTAGTATTCCCCTACGACACTGAGATCTTCGTTTTTTGAACTCTACAAGATTCTCCAACGTAGGATTTCGACGAAATTTATTTAGAGCTTTTTTCTTTAATGCTATTTTTTCTTTGATTTCAGGTGACCACCACGGGACCATCTTTCGCCTATTGCCAGGTTTAGATTTAGGTATGCTGGCGTCAGCAGCGTTTATAATGGAAGAGGTAATGGTTTTAACATTTAGATTGTCTTGATTAGGAGGGACGAGGACTTGTGTGAAGAGTTCCCAATTTGCTAATTGGATTTTATATTTAGCTATCGTTTTTATTGGAAGATTGTGACCCCTGACTGTGATAATAATGGGAAAATGGTCACTATGATGTAGATCATCTTCCACCTCCCATTTCAGGCTAGTATGTATACCTGGTGAACATACTGATACATCGATGGAGTCAAATGTGCCTGATCCTGCATTGAAAAATGTAGCGGAGCCATCATTTAGTAAGCTTAAGTTACTATTTTCAATCAGGTCCAACAGTTCTTTCCCTCTAGCATCATTTGATCTGGAGCCCCAAACGGTGTTGTGGGAATTAAAATCCCCAACAAGAATAAATGGTGGTGGAAGCTGCCCAATAATTTTTCGAATTTCTTCGACATCATAATTTGTATTGGGAGTGTAAATATTACAAAGTGTACACGATCTACTAATTTCAAGTTTAACGGCTACAGCCTGGTAAGTTGTATGTAATTTAACTTGTTTATAAGGTGTTCCTTTGTGAATGAGAAATGCTACTCCTCCACAGGCTCTTGCAGGTGAGTAGAAATCCTTTCTAATTTAATTGCTTTTGTTTCTTTTTATGTATCCTTTTATTCTCGTCCAGAATTGCCTACAGGCTGTTCTATGTTCTTCTGTTATCCCTTCTCCAAACTCCTTCCAGGATTCTTTCTTTGCTATTTCGATTTCAGTTTTCCCTGTGTTTCTCCTTCGTTGTTTGTCTTTGCTTTCCATGCTATTTTCTTATATTTTGTCAGCCTTTGTATATCTCTATTCCACCACTTCGTCCTCTTGACGTGTTTACTGTATTTTCTCGTCCCACATATTTTCGCTGTTATCTTCAGCAGTGTCTCTTTGAAACTTATCCATCTTTCTTCTCAGGCCCAGTCTATTTTTCCTTCTGGTATTGTTCTCTTCTCTTCTTCCTTTCCATTTCATTTAATTATTCTAGGTTGTAGACATCACCATTTACTGTTGGTTTATTGTATCTAGTGATGTGGATTGTAAAATAACGATATGTAAGTTACATAAAAAACGGTTATATTACGCGTAACTTACAAGAGGTCGGTTTTTTTATGTAATTTATGTCTTTTATGAAATTTACGTAACTTACGTTTTTTATGTAAAAAAACCGTTACATAAATGTAATACCTATTTGATACATTTTGATCGGTACTACCACAGACCATCAACGGTACTACCAACGTAAACGATTCACCGTTGAATCTAGTTTGGTTTAATGAAGATGATACAGCATCTAATTCGCAATCTGGAACTTCTTCCTCCAAACGACGCGTGATGGCGAAATACCTACTGCTTGGGTATTTTATTTAATACACCAAAATATATAATTTAACAAGTGTTTTTGTTTTCAAACACTCACAAAATTCAAAAAGGTTTATGGAATTTAAAAAAAAAACATAAAAAACATAAATGACAGGTAATTTTACAAAAATATTTGTAAATTACATAAAAAACATAAATTACTGGTAATCTTCATGTAAAATTACGGTTTTTTTTAAATAAATGGTAAGTTACATAAATTACATAAAATACATAAAAAACATAAACAATTGGTAATTTTACACGTAATATTACGCACTTTAAAAAAAACGTGTAATTTAACATCACTAATTGTATCTAATCGCTTCGTAATATCTCTCTGTTCTGATTCTACTCCTGTGTTTTATCGGATCTTGGGTCTCCTTTGTCTCCTTCTATGTATATCGGATTTATGGCTCAGTGGTAGAGCATTGGGTTATAAATCCGGAGGTCGGGTGTTCGAACTTGGGTTGAGGTGAATTTTTCATCTGTGGCGGAGATGGAAATTACCTTAGACCAGTTCCGAGCATTCTACCGGCTACTCCGAATTAGGTTTTCCTGCAGTTTTCCTAATTCGTAAGGTAAATACCGGAGTAGTATAGAGACCAACTTAAGACCTTCTGCAGAGGCACCTCTAAATAGCATTATGCGGGTCACTCTGTAATTGGGCGCATGCCTGTTGAGGGCCCAAAACAAGAGAGGGATAAAATAAAAAATATATGTTTGTGCCTTTTAGTTTTTTTATCGTTTTTCGTATCTCCATTTTCGTTGCTCATTTCTTTAGTTCTACCAGCCGGGGTGGTGGTTCCTGGATGACCTCCCTGACCTTTAGCAAACGATCGTGATTGGTAAACGAATTGTGGCTAATTCTTATTAATTTTGGGGCGTAGAATCCAAAACAATTCGTACTTTTTCGATTAGACTTATCAACCAAAGTTATACACTAGAAACCAATTTCGAAAGAAAATTCAAAGGGCTGTAACTTTTGAACTAGTAGCCCAATCTTCGAACTGTTTGAAATTACGGATTCTACAGGGCGCATTCTATAAGAAAATTTTTTTTCCCGGTCGATCTGAGACCATTTTTTTTTCGGGGCTCAAAAGAAGGCAGTGTATAACCTTCCTTTTTTACCAAAAGTCGACTACATCAAAATTTCTCGCGAAAACGCTTTTTGGGAGAGGTCAAGTAAGTACCAAGATTTGTAAAAGAATATTTGACCTAAAAATCCAAACTTTTAAAAATTATCAACTCAACGAGTCTAATGTTTGACAGAGTCGAAGTTTGATAAACATCAAGGGTGTCAAAAATTTTAAAATTATTGAAGGTGTCAAAAGTCTCAGGTTTCAAGAACCTTCAAAATTAAGAGAGTCTCAAAGTGCTATTGAAACATTGACTGCAGTATTTCTTAACTTAACGTTGATTTCAAGCACGTTTGGCGTTTTCGGCCCTTGAATTTTCCACGGATGCGAAGAACTTGTTATATATATACCATTCTTTAAAAAGGCTTAAGGGTCTTTAAAAAGTTTCCTAAAAGGATTTATAGTCTCTTAAGTCAAGCAGTTCACCCACGGGTCTGAATGATTTCATGTTTCGCCAAGTGGTTAAAATTCAAAAAAATATCTCAGTAAATAAGAAAGTTGACTTTGCGCTGTGGAATTCGGACCGGCAAAGAGTGCAGATGAGTTTGTTTTCTTTAGTAAAGAACTCGTTAACTTTTAAACGCGAGACGGGTCCAGGCTTAATTCAAAATTACATTCGAAGCCCAAGCGGAATTTGTCTTTATCAAGACACGAATAACGCACGACGATTTAATTAAATGAGAGAAGCCACCGTTCCAAACGAATATAGTCTGAGCTTGGTATCCGGGAGGAGTTCCATGCTGGAAATAACCAGGATAGTAGCCATGATGCAGACGGAGGCAACAGCATGAGGGTAGCCACGTGGAATGTACAAGGGGCCCAAATAAAATGGACAAATTAAGAAAACAGGATATAGAGGTAGCCAGCCTACAGAAAACCAAACAAACGAGTGGGATGGCCGCGACGAGGAAGTACGATTGGTAGATAGGAGGAGGGAAGATGGAGAGAACCAGAAGAGGCACAGCAATCGTAATCAGGAAACACCGAGGCATTGATGTTGAGAAATTTAAAGAAAGAAGCGAGAATATATGTATGGCCCAAATCAAGGCAAGCTTAGGAAGACTAACGGTTATAGGATGCCACATCCCCTCGGACAAAAAAGGACAAGCGGAATTCAGCAAAATTATAGAGCAAAAGAGCGGAATATACCCGGACATCCTATTAGGCGACTTCAATGCTAGACGAAAGGGAAGGGGACGAAGGATAGGCAAAATGCTCAAGCACGAGCAAGACGTGATACATCTGCATGGACTGACAACATGGAGGAGAGGGATCTCTAAATCACAGATCGACCACATAGTAAAGACCAAGTTAAAAAAAATAATCATCACAGTAGGCATATTGGCAAAAACAGTAGGATCGGACCAAAAAATAGTGAGGGGGAAAGTAAGGGGAGGAGTGAAAAATGCGACAAGGAGGGAAAGGCCAAGGAGAAAAGTGAGAGAACTGAATGGGGGGATGTGAGACTTTTGACAGGGGAGAACTATAGAAAGGGCCCCGTCGCTCACTGATCTCGAAAAAGAGTCACACGGGAAAGTTATAGTTTGTAAAAACCAACTTATTTCGATGAGACCTTTCATTAGAATACCATGAAGGGTAGAACATGATGTTTACCCCCCCCCCACATTTCCTAAAGTTTAACTTGGCACCACTAAAGGCATGCGTATGCAAAATCTGAGACCAATTGGTTGTCGTATGTAAAAGTTATGCACGTTTTACTTTCAAAAACAGCATCTCAGGAAATAATTTGTGGGGGAGCGGGCTTTTAGACAGCGAAATTTGATGTCCGCCTGGCACACCTTCAAGGTATAGGCTATCTACTGCACAAAATTCCAGGACTCTAGGACCATTCCCTAGAAGTAGTTCAAAACGGCAGAAGTGGGTCCCGACGGTCGGACGGATGGACAAAACGCAAACAATAGCACATTTTTTTTAATTCTTAAAAAATGCGCTAAAAACAGGAGGAAACAAAATCCCAAAAGTCAGGTCACCACAAGTAACAGACGATTACAAGATGTACGCAACCTACCCAAACCAAACGCGTGCCTAAGGGAATATAGGCAGCTGAGATATTGGGGGCATATAAACAGGGGGAACAAAAACCTCAAGGGGGCCATGAATCTACGTGCCTCGGAATAGAAAGTAGGCCGGCCGTGCTTCACATGGAACACCACTATAGACCAAACGGTGGCGGCCTCGGGAATTTCTATAGAGAGATGAGAAGAGTGGAGCAGAGACAAACACAAAATGAAAGAAAGAAAGAAAGCAGACGAGTACTGGAAGTGGAGGCAGAATTAGGCGGAAGTACAAGCAGTCAAGAGAAGGAGGAGACAGAGAGGGAAGAAGGAAGGGAGAAACAAAAAAAGGAATTATTGAGATCAATGGAACGAAGGGGGAGAGGCTATCAACAGGAAGCTCCCTCTGATGCAGTTTATACCAGTGGCGAAGCTGTGACCGTACTCTTTCGGGTCGGACAACCCAGTTAGCCGCCCCGTTAACCTCCCCAATACACAAAATTCACCTCATTATTTGGGGACAAATTCCCGTGGCAGTTGACTAAATTCTGGAGAGAACCAATAAGAAAGTTGACTTTGCGCTGTTGCAAAGATATAAACTACCAAATGCAAAAAGAACGAAGTATATAGGTATCTTAAAAACCGTAGGAGTAGGCCTCTGACTCCAGCATTAGTTAGACAATGAGCTCTTTAAAAATATGTACCTAATGAAAACCAGTGGTTGAGACTTAAAAAAATAAGCCCCCCCTAGACCATGTAGAAGTACGCCCCTGACCATTAATTTCCAGTACGTAGCAAACATTTTATAATTTTGGATATCATAAAAAGCTTCTTTAAAAAACCGTTTTTTTAAAGGCATATTCAGTGTTGTAGGCAACGTTTTCACCCTGTATATGGGCCATGTATAGCTTTTAAGAGATTTTAGGGGCCTTTCATGGTTCCTGCCTTTGTTAACTTTAGAAAACATTTAAGGGAAGAGACTTTTAATTTGTTTATTGAAGTTTGGGGATTTACGACAGTTTCTAAGGCCCAAAGTCGAACATTGAAAACACTTCGCAGTCAATCGAATGTACCTTTTCCAAGCGAGCTGAAGGAGAATTCGACACAAGCCATGCTACCATCTTACATTCGGTCTTCCGTAAAAGAACAGGTCCCGGAATTTACCGAACTCGCTTTCAAGTCGCTCGGAATTGACGAATTTGACAATTTAATCGGTCGGTTTGCTCGGCGCCCTTTGTTCCGGCGCCAATTTCAAGAAACAAATCTCGGATTGTGCCGAACTCGCTCGGCATTGATTTATGTGGTGCCGGCTTGAGATTCAGCAAAGAACAAATCTGGATTAGCCCCTAAAAACCTGCAGGGAAATACTCGCCTAAACTAATCGGGCGATTATTCTTCAGGCGAGTTTGTGGCCATTAACTTACACACTGTGAAACACGTGAGCAACGCGAAATTCCATTGTGAACGCAAGGGCAAACACGGATGCAATGCAGCAGGCGCCTAGAAAAGCCATCGTTACTAAACTCTTCTTCGTCCAGCGTCTCAGAAGGATCAGTAGCAAAGGTGTCAGAAGAAACAGCTGAGTATCTACAGCCATATACCAGGTGTGTGGCATGCACTAAAAGGAAGTGTTTAGATGGTGTCTTTACCTTTAGATGGCCGATACCATTGGCGGTGCAAAGTTTTGAATATACAGCATGTTGAACCACCAATTGTGAACACAAGGGTCGACTATAGTTTCATTGAATGCTGGCCATAGTGGACCTGAACCCAAATACTTGGTCACTGTCGCTACAAACAAGATTACAATAGCCATCGTGGGAGTCAACCTTAAACGCTCAAATTTAAAATTCCTCTTTCCTTCGACTTGCTCACCTCAAATATCTGTTGGCGTAGTGCGATATTACTCCGAACTTTTGCTGTTTCGCCAATTTTTGAAAATATCCATACGTAATCATCGAACCTGACAAAAAGAAGAAAATATCCATGGCAATGTCCGCTTTTATTAGAGGCATGTTTTGTATCTGTTGTACCCACTAAATTATGAGTCTGGTTACTTTCTGATTGAAAGGAAGTCAAAAAGCTCACGTGGATAGTAAAGAATTCATTTCTGTGCTTTTGGTGTAACACATAGTAATAGCGATGACCTGCAATGACTATGAACATTGCAATAGCGCGAACCCCGTGCAGGCAGGTAATTTCTCGGGGGGCGGACTTCGTGTCGAAGATCTTCTTGAGGTTTGTGTATATCGAAAATGCCGACAGAAGCGCATTTGGCGCACCTGTAAGCAGTCGTTAGTCAGTTGCTGATAGTGTTGAACGTCCTACGTTTCTCGATGAATTTGTTACGAAGGTCGTAGATTGTAGACGCGGCCATCAGCAATGGTAAACATACAAAAAAGGTCCTAAAAGGTCAATGAGTACCACCTGCTCCCTTGAGAGTAGACTTACAATCCAATGATACATCCGGTGTCCATTTCCGGCCGTTTCGCCAATGTTTGGCAGTGAGAGTCTTTAATGGTTAAGTTGATTCCAATGCCTCTGATGACATTTTGAACGTCCCCGCCTGAGCATCCTTCAGGGAGGCACGTGGGAAAGGCCAGTCTGTTCCCAATTTCGGGCACTTTGATTTCATTGCTGATGTTCTACAACAGCGGTTCTCATACTTACGTACTCGGCTCCTTTTACCTATTAACAAATTTGCCCACCCCCCACCCCCCTTGAATAGTATCAAAGGTCATAGGCAAGAGTCGATCCGCGGTGTTAAATGTACACTTTCGTAATCGAGAAGGTCATCGAAAATTCTACTCACCCGTGTTGCATTTACGTAAATTGAGCCCAAGCAATACTGTCCCGTAAAACTGGAACCTTCGGGTTCCTCGTTTAACTTCGTGACATAGAGGCACTCATCAAATGAACCCAGCTCGGCAAGATTCCCGTCCAATACTCCAGCCGGAAGCTTTCCAGTGGAGTCGTACACTAAAAAAGTAGCCGATTGCTTCGGGAGGATATCGAAGGTGACTTACCCTTTAACGCCCACTCCTCCCTCGATCGAAGGCCGACTACGTACTCGCTCAATTGTGCCGAACAGTCCCAAGATACCGCCGTAGCATTGCGCAACAGAAAAGATTCGATCGCATCGGAAATCATACGTGGCGATGAAAGTGCCTCGAAGTTATAATCAAAAACGTCCCCTTTCGTCCCCGCAACTAGGAGAATCAGGTACAACAGTTCATGGGCAGCCATCATGGCGTATTGTGCATTCGTTCTGCAGTAAAGAGACGATTATAACATGGCCTGATTAAATCCACGGTCATAAAAAAAGGCGTGGATCACTTATTGCCGTTTGTACCGATAAATTTAAGTGTAGCTTAAAATCTATTGCAACAATTGTCTTAATAATCGTTGCAATGGATTTTAAGCAACGCTTAAGCTAAGCTCCGCTTAAATTTATCGGTGCAATCTGCCATTAGTGAAGGATAATAAACTTATGGATTACAGCTTTAAACGTAAACAGCACTTTTGTCTTACCTAAAGCTCACTTTAAAATTAATTATGTATTACTGCAGATTTAAGAACCAAGACCGTTAACCCTGTTACCTTGATACTATGATGCCCGGCATCGCCGCCTCTCCCGTGATTTAGTCAACTGTCGTGGGGATGCGTCCCTGGTAGGTACTGTCAGGGGCGTTTCACCACTACTTTGTTGCCATCGCGCTGGGCCGCGACCTATGCCAAACAGTGTGATGGATTTTGTGTATGTGTGTGGGGGGGGGGCTATCTGGTTTTTACCCGACCCGAACGGGTACGGCCACAGCGTCGCCACTGGAATATCTGCCTTAGAGGGAACTCTGCTTTCTGGTGATAGCTTCTTCTGTGGGCATTCATTAGTTTCCGATATTCCCATCCTTTGGTATCGTTCCCTTCCCTGGTTTCCCCCGTGTTCTTTTTTTATTGTTGTCTTCTTCCTGCGTTACTATCTGTCCCCTGTTCCTCCCCCTCTTGGCTACTTGCGCTCATGTCTGATTCTTCCTCCACCTCCAGTATTCTTCTGCTTTCTTTCTTCATTTGATGCTTGTCTCTGCTCCACTCTTCCCATTCGAATCCCCGAGGCCCTTACCGTTTGGTCTATGTTTCCATTCCGAGGCACATAGATTCTTGGCAGCCCGTAGGATATGGTCGTTATTCCTCCTGTTTATATGTCCCCAGTATCTCATCTGCCTCATCTTCAGTCTCCTGGTGATCGTCTTTCCCTCTAGTAATTCCCTTATCTGGGCTATGGCAATCTTCTTTCCTTTTTTGGATTGGGTGTTGCTTCTGCCGACCATTTCCATGTATACCTCGCTGGTTTGGACGAAGTCCTCAATGCCTTCTAACTTATCCGCGATTACGAGTAGGTCGTCCGCGTACGCCAGTAGTGTCGGTAGTTGTAATTGGTCGCTTGTGCTGAAGTTCCTCACCAGACCACCATCCTTTGTTTGTTCTAAAGCGTGCTATCGCGAAAAACCTTGGGGAAAGCGGACATCCTTGCTCGATTCCACTGGTTTTCTTTTGGCGCGCGGTTTTCTTCCCAAACCATTGTATACAAGTATACTCCCTTAGGCACGCGTTTAGGAACTTGGGCAGTCCCAGCATCGCCAGGGAGGTGACTATTGCTTCATGCTTCACTTTGTCAAAGGCCTTACCCAGATCTATTGCTAGAAGCCATTATTTGGTTCCAGCTCACCATTGTTCGTCTAGGATCCTCCTGGTCGTGAATATATGGTCATCGAGTGCTCCTTTTATAAATGAATTAATGTACTCCGCGAACTCGGCGAATTCCTTGATTGCTCAAAGGCTCTGTTTTTCTTCTCCTTAGCTCTTTCTTTGTTTCAGGTCAGGTGAAATTGTGCTAATAATGTCAGAATGGCTATTACTTCGACTCATTTGAGTCGGAAAATATTGTAGTGAATATTCTAAAAATCCAGATAGACATCGATGGAAACGAAAGCAAATGTGACGCGTTTTTACCGAGAAATGCGATAAGTCGAGTTGTTCGAGAACGTTTTAGCGAATTGAATCGCTTGTAGTGGTTAGTTCTAACATCGGTTCCGAAGTGTAATTTCAGTTGGCGCTCGTGTCGTTTATAACATTCCGAGTGATAAATAATAATTCACTCTTCCTCTCACTTCCTCTTTACTAACTTAACCACATTTTGCCATGCGTTGCTCTAACAAGTTGACTTGGGGAAATTTGCTGTTTTGCACGTATAACCCTATATGAGACAAATTTCCGTCCAATATTCTTGCAGGTCGTACATTAAAAAGGTAGCCGATCTTCGTGGGAGTGCCTCAAAGGTGTACTGATTAGCACCCCCTCCCTCAGATTAGAAGACCGGGTGTTCAATTGAACCAAAAAGTTCCAGGATACCGCCGTTTTGTTGCGTAACAGACAAAACATGGCAAAGTGGTAATTGTAAAGGTGGGAATAGACCAAGCAAACATTGTTGTGCAACAGTTGAACACACAAGTGAGTGAGTTATTCAACTTTTGCACAACAATGTTTGCTTGGTCTATTCCCACCTTAAAGATTCCCTTCCATCTCTGCAACTAGGCAGACCAAGCCC